GTGTGCTGTGCGGGTGTGTTCTGCATCGCCCGTGTGTGCTGTGCGGGTGTGTTCTGCATCGCCCGTGGGCACACGCGTGGATGTCTTTGCTCGGCCAGTGTGATCCAGGGTCCCTAAAGGCAAGAGGCTGACGCGTGTCTATTGCTGCTGCAGCTGCTGCATCCCGCAGGGTTTTCCGTGGGCCCACGGCCCATGGCGAGGGCCGCCCCAGCCTCTCTGCTGCAGAGCCAGCAGCGTTCCCTGAGGGCCACCTGGCTCCCCACCAGGAGATGGTCTTTGCTTCGACTCCTCGCTGCCCTCCTCTGGCCCAGAGGCCTCACGAGCCCAAGTGACCCCGTGGGGAGCAGGCAGCCGGCCCAGCCCCCCCACCCTGGGGGAACAGGGACCCCCCCCCCCCGCACCGTACCGGTTGGTGGAGCCATTGTAGCAATAGTTAGGGAGGAAGTCGAAGTTCAGTTCCCAGAAGACGTGCAGGGTGATGCGGCCATAGGGGGCCGAGACGTTGTGATTGGCCTCCCGGAACATGGTGTCGAAGCTGTCCAGGGTCATGTGCTTGCAGAGCAGCCGGTGCGTGAGGCGGTTAATCTCCAGCAGCCACTCCAGCTCCTGCCACGGGAGAGAAGCTCTGGGCCATGCAGACTTTACCCCGAATCCCCCGCACCCGCTCACCTTCTCCTGAGTCCTAGTGTCACCATCGATAGAGAGCCTGGACCACGGAAGTCATGAGGACAAGCCACGACCTCTCGAGCTCTTGCTGTTAGGCTGACACACGGGAACTTTGGGCTTTGGGTGTTTTGAGATCATTTGCTATGGAATATTGGCAATGGTGGGGCTGGAAAGGTGGCTCAGAGGCAGACTGCTTGCCCAGCATGTGTGAAGCCCTGGGTTCCATTCCTCAGTACCACTTACACAGAAAAAGCCCAAAGTGGCGCAGTGGCTCAAGTGGTAGAGCGCTAGCCTGGAGCAAAACACAGCTCAGGGACAGTGCCCAGGCCCAGAGTTCAAGCCCCATGATTGACCAAAAGGGGGGATATGTTCTAGTGTACTCTACCTTTGCTCTTATTCTCTCTCTCTCTCACTGAGGAGATGAGGACAGGACTCATGGGGTCTCATGTCAAACAAGGATTAAGAGCTTCCGGGCAGGGGCAGCAGAGCCGGCAGGACACCCACCACGCGCCCCTCCTGTGCCCTGGCTGGCTCCCAGGGCCCCCGGGGCACAGCTGAGCCTCGATGGGGGGCAGGGGGCGTCTCCACCTCCCAGTACAGCTAACAACACTTCCCACGCAGCAACCTGGAGCAGGACCCCCCTCCCCAGCCCCAGCCCCCCTTACCACAATGGAGGTCACATCCTCGCTCTCGAAGCGGCTGATGGCCTGGTCCAAGGATTTGTACATGGCGGCAGAGATGCGCTGAGTAATGAGTCTGTTCAAGTCGATGGATCTACCCAAGAGCTGGTGGCAGGGGAAGCGGATGGGGCAGAGGAGTGGAGGGGAAGAGAGGGGAGGGGAGAAAGGGAGAGGAGAGGAGGGGAAGAAGGGAGGAGGGGAGAGGAGGGGAGGAGGAAAGGCAGGGTGGAGAGAGGAAGGGAGTTCGGTAAGATTTTCAGACACCTGTCCATCAAATGCAGGGGGGCAGGAAGCTGGGCTGGGGAGGGGAGGAGTCTGGAGGGCTGCGTGGAGGCGGCGTCTGGCTCAGCATCTGGGTGAGCTGGTGTTTGCAGTTTGCGGGCTGGCACACGCACCGTGCAATGTCCTGCTATCCACCCGTGTTCCCCGTGGGTAAAAGGTGTGTGTGTAACCTGTCACACACGCACACACACACACACACACACAGTGAGCACACACCCCCCCCCGGGCGATCCCTGCTGTCCTCTCAACTATGGAAAACCAGAGAAAACTGGGGCTCGTTGGGGGAGGGTCAGAGCAGGCTGGCACGCGGGGTGCGGGGAGCCCCCAATTCAGGCTCTTCCTGCCTCTTTCCTGGGCCGGCAGCGCCCCCTCTCCGGCCAGTCTACTCTGTGCCACGGGGACACGCAGGGCAGGGCTGCAGCTGCTGGGGAGATGCCAGCAGCATTTATTGAGCGCCTGCTGTGTGCACCCAGCGCACGGTGCTGAGCACCGAGTGAATGCACGGTGCTGAGCGCCGGTGCGCAGCTGTGATTTCGCTCAGGGTAACGGTCCTCTCTGCCCACGCCAGTCAGGGCTCTGAGTCCCGGGGGGGGGTTCTCCTGCTGCTGCAGTGGGGTGCACAGAGTACCCCCAAAGCATCGCTCTCTTTGCCCCCGAGCTGGCGGAGGTGGTGGACACGTTGCTTTTTTTCGTACAATTCTCTCCCTTCCCGTGGATTTTTCACAGCGAGGGGAACGCGCGGGACTGTCAAGGTTAAGAGGGGTTTCCTTTTTGTTCCAACGCCTCCTTGGTCTCAGCTCTGGCCCCTGACAAGAACCAAAGGGACCCCCCCCCCAAAAAAAAGTACAGAGGGCAGAGGAGATGGACGTTTGGCCAAGGGCAGGGGAAGGTGGGGCTCAGCGTCCATTGGGGCGCCAGCCGCGGAGGCCGCTGGGCTCACTACAATGTCTTCCAGCTCCCCAGGGTCAAGCTTCTCCCTCGGGGTCACCCCCACACATACAGGGACCCCAGTTTCTGCCCTGGCTGGTCTGCTGGGATCCATTCTGAAGGCATCACGGTCCGCTTCCCTTCTCCAGGGGAGATTTGCCCATCAGAAAGTGGGGAGGGGAGGGGGGTGCCGCAGGTTAGGATGCGAGGATTTGGGGGTTCCCGATCTCCCGAGGCAAGCTCGCAGATAGGAGAGGAAGCCTACGATGTAGCAAAGTCCGTAAGGCTCTGCCTGGGTTTTACCCACGTCTCAGAATCCCTCCGCTGGGCAGTTCCTGGGCACAGCACCCCGGCTTTGGGCACGAAGGTGGCAGGTGCCATCTTCCTAGACGCCCCCCCGCACCCCATACCTGCACGTGTCTCTGCTTCAGCAGCGTCTCGTAGCGGTTGGAGGGTGGGTACGGGATGATCACCCCATAATTCTTACACTCGGCCCGGAAGCGTTTGTCCAAGAGCACGCTGGGAAAACCAAGCGGAAACAGATCCACTAAACCCCCGGATGAACAGCACCTCCCTCGCTCGGCCGCAGACCTGCTCTACCCACGGCCTCTCCCTTCCGCAGTACAGCGCTGTCTGCACCCCGCGGGGGGACGCTTAGTGCCAGCCAGGAGCTCAGAATGGGGGGGGGGGAGTCAGTTACAGATGGGCTGCTTGCCTCTGTCTGTCTGTCTGTCTACCACAAGATAGTTGAGTCTGTGCTGAGTATAACCCAGGGAACATTCTAGATGTGGGGTTCCTGTCTTCAGGGAGTTTACACCTTAGTTGTGAGAGACTGATCATGAATAAGCACGCAGAGCGCTGGGCGCTGGGGGCTCAGAGGCCGAGACTGGACAATCATGGCTGCTAGCCATCCCGGGGAACACAACTCTGGTAGCCTTTTTTGTTTCTTTTGGTCTGTCGTGGGGCTTGAACTCTGGATCTGGGCGCTGTCCCTCAGCTCTTCAGCTCAAGGCTAGCACTTGAGCCACAGTGCCACTTCTGGCTTTTTCTGCTTATGTGGTGCTGAAGAATCAAACGCAGGGCCTCATGCATGCAAGGCAAGCGCTCTACCTCTGAGCCACCTTCCCAGCCCTCCAGTAGACTTTTATCTACACTTAATCAGCAAAAAGTTGGAGGTGGTGGTGTGGCTCAAGTGGTAGAGCACCAGTGCCTGAGCGAAAAAGTTGAGCAAGAGCACAGCCCTGAGTTCAAGCACACCAGGACCCACACAATGTTTATATACACACACAGGCATAGATGTGTAACATGACATTTTCCATTTTCATAGTTTGTGAGTGCATGGCTTATGACATTCACTCCCATTACTGTGCTGACATAAAAGTATGAATTTGTAAGCCAGGCGCTGGTGGCTCACCCCAGTAATCCTAGCTACTCAGGAGGCTGAGATCTGAGGATTGCGGTTCAAAGCCAGCCCAGGCAGGAAAGTCTGTGAGACGCTTATCTCCAATTAGCCACTCAAAAACTGGAAGTGGAGCTGTGGTTCAAAGTGGTAGAGCACTAACAAGCCTTGAGCACAAGAGCTCAGGGATAGTGCCCAGGCTGCCCCAACTGAATTCACACACACACACACACACACACGCACACACACACACGCACACACACACACAGGAATTCCTGTTTAGTTACCATACCCCCAGTAATGTCAGGATTCTGTAAAACGCGCCATGTCTCTGCGTTAGCTTCTCCATTGTCTTCCTGTCTGCTTTTCACACATCCCTCCTTGCTCCCATCCCTCCTCCAGACTTTTTTTCTTTTCATCAGGATTTGAACTCTGGGCCTCATGCTCTTGCTCCGCTTGCTTACTTAGGCTGGTGCTCTACCACTTGATCTCTGCCTCCAGTCCACATTTTCTGCGTGGTTATTCTAGCGATGGCGTCTAAGCTAGACTTTTCTGCTCAGGCTGGCTGTTCAATCATCAAATCGCAGCCTCAGGAGTAGCTGGGATTACAGGCCTGTGCTACCTAGCACCTGGCCTGGCTCAGACTTCTACATTTTTTTTTTAAAAAGGGCCAGCAAATTACCATGAAGCTACTAGCCAGCCTCGCGCACTAAATGCCCAGGTGCTGATCTGCCCTGCCTTCCTCGCCCAGCTCCTCACAGTGCCCTCTCGTGGCTACCGGCGGGACAACAACCGGCATTAACACCCGAACCAGGCAGGCTCTAGGATTTTTGCTACTTCTGCCACAGGGACTCAGCACAGGAAGTTCCCTTTGCCTGCCATTTCCAGGAACACATTGCTCTCTTCCACACTGCCTTTCTATTCCACAAGCTGTGCATTTTACCATTGCTCATAAACCCCTCTTCGTAAGACAGCACATAACCTTGTCTCATCAGCATCTCTCTGCCCCATGAAGTTGGCACCGTATCTGCCCATCGCTCCTCTCCAAGGATTCCAGCACCCAGCCCCGCCCCCTCGAACAGCTCTCTTCTCCTTACGTGCTCCCAGAGGGGAGAGGGAGGTGTGCCCTCTAGACACAGCGTTGGGAAGGATGGCTGCGTCCAGCCCCGGCTCTCCTACCTGCCCGCCATGGCCTTGTAGTAGGCGAAGATCTGGTCCGCCAGCTTGTAGACAAACTGGTCAAAACACAGGTTCACCTGAGGAGGGAAGCGGGTCAGTCACACAGCAGCGCCACCCGATGGCCGTTACACAAACTCCAGGGAGTGGAACAGAGTGGCTGGGGCTGCATTCCCTCCCCCAGGCATGTTCTCAACTTCAAGACAGCTTTGAAGGAAAACAGAAGAGAGAGAGGGGAAGGGCGAGAGAAGAGAGGACGGGAGGACGGGAGGACGGGAGGACGGAAGGAAGGAAGGAAGGAAGGAAGGAAGGAAGGAAGGAAGGGAAGAAGGAAGGAAGGAAGGGAGGGAGTCTGTGTCAAGGTAAGTCTGATTACCCCTTGTAATCAAGGTACTCAGTTAACAGATGAAGCGAAGTTCACGTCTATATCCTGAGATCTGAGGATCATGGTTCAAAGCTAGCCCAGGCAGGAAAGTCTGTGAGACTCCCACATCACACCACACTTGAGTGAAAAGCCAAATGAGAGCGTGAGGCCCTGAGATCAAGCCCCAGGACTGGTGTGCACATGCATGCGCACAGAAACAAACTCAAGCACGAGCTCACACAGAGCCCAAAAGGGCTGCAGGGGAACCAACCTCCCCATCATGGCGCCACTCCTCAGCCCTGACCCGGATGTGAAATCCTCCACCTGTCACCTCCCTGGCTTCATTCTTACTGGGCTCACCCTAGAGCCACCCAGCGGCCATCACTGCCCATAGGTTGTCTTGGTTCTATTTCTTTTACAGTTCTTTGATGTTTGTTTTTACTTTGCAAATCTGATTATAATAACATGGTTAGAAATGTAAAAGCTGCTCCCTCCCCACCCCCACCCCCCACTTCCACACTGGGCTTCAACGGATCACTCTGGTTTGTTAACGTGGGAGTCTCGTGCGTCAGTGCTGTGTGATCCCCACAGGAGATTATGGCGCTCCTGATGCAGAGAGACCAAAGCCAGAGAAAGACAAGGGTGGGGTTTGGGCAGATGGGGCTGGGGCTGCAGCAGGGTGCGAAGATACCGGCACACTTGGTGGTGGTGGTGGAAGGGTTCATCCATGAGTCTTTCCCTGTCAGGGGCTCAGCCCCAGAGCGAATTCATTCAAAGGCTCACACACAGCACAGGGCCTGGGGGGGGCTGGGGGGGCCTGGAGGGGGCTCTGATCGGGACTGGGAGCATCCAGATCCCCAGGGGAACCCTCTTTCCCCCCCTTCCCCCCACTCCAGGCAGCTCCTTGGGAGGCAGCCATAGGAGGACTGTGGTTTGAGGCCAGTATGGGGGGAGGGGAGGAGAAAGAAAAGGAAAAATCAGAGTTTGGGAAATCTCATCTCAAAGAACGAGCAGGGAAGGGTGGCTCCCGCCTGGAATCCCAGCCCTGGGAGGCGCTGGCGCGAGGGTGGCCAGTGACAGCAGCGTGTCCCCCGCGCCTGCCAACACCGGCGATCGCAGTCAGCTCACTCGCCTCGGCCTCGATCTCGTCGTACAGGAACTGCTTTTTGAACTTGGTCAGCGCGTAGTAGGCGCTGTCGTTGTACAGGTCCAGCGGGTAGAGGACGTACCTGGTGCGGGGAAGAGGGGGCAGAGGGGAGGGCGGGTGGTTTACCAACTGGCGGGGGGGGGGGGGGATCCGAGCTTCCAGGGAGGCGCAGGGGGGCCCGGGGCCAGGCCGGACCCCGGGATGGGCGGCCTCACTGGGCAAAGTGGAGGCGAATGAAGCCTGGGGAGCCATCTGCAGCCCAGGCCCCGCCCTCTGTGGCCCAGGCCACGCCCTTGAAACCCAGGCCCCACCCCCTACAGCTCAGGCTCTGCCCCAATAGTCCAGGCCCCGCCCCCTGTGACTCAGGCCCTGCCCCTAAGACCCAGGCCTCTGCCTTCTGCAGCCCAGGCCCCGCCCCTGCAGCCCAGGCCCCGCCCCTGCAGCCCAGGCTCCGCCCCTGCAGCCCAGGCCCCGCCTCTCACTCCATCATGGAAGGCTCCTTGGTCTCCAGGATGTGGTCCGTCAGAATCCAAGGCATGGACATCTCGATGGGGAACTGGATGCGCCGGCCCATGGTGAGCTCCAGGAAGAACTCTCGGAACCAGAGCTGGGAGAGGTCGCAGCACTGCTGCAGCGCTTCTGTGGGCACAGGGAGAGGTGGTGAGAGGAAGTGGGGGTCCTGGGGGGAGTTGTGGGACCATTTCTATCCCCCCCACCACACAGAGTTATCTACAGCTGAAGTCTAACACAGTGCTTCTAGAGCTAGGCGTGGCAGCTCACGCCTGTCATCCCAGCTCAAGGAGGCAGAGATGGGCCAGGTCAAAATTCAAGGCCCAAAGCCCAGAAAAAGGCAAGCGAGACTTCATCTCAACCAAGAAGCCAGGTGTGGTCTCATGCATCTAAGCAGAGGACAGAGGAGGAGAGTAGTTTGAGGCTGGCCTGGGGCGGGAAAAAAAAGTGAGACTGTTTCTGAGAACAACAACAACAAAACAACTACAGCACAACACCGGGTTGTACAAGGCCCTGAGTTCCAAGCACAGCACTGCCCAAACTCAGCAACAACGGAAAGAACACCCAAGACAGTCTCTGTGTCTGTGTGTGTGTGTGTCTGTCTGTCTGCCTCGGATGGGTGCCTACATTGCTAACATCATTCTCTTTTACGCACTATCAAGGCTCACACATCCTGGGGTCTCCCTCGGCCCTTCCTGCCCAACCCTGGCATGCCGGGGATTCCCAGCTGAGGGTGGCCGGCCTCTCCCGAGCCCTGAGGGCTCGCGTGGCCTCCCCTGATCCATTCACCCAAATCAATGATCAGACACCTTCGGCCAGGTCCTAACAGATGCCCCGCCCATCTCCCAGATTCCACCGGGAAAATCAAGGGTGTGGTCTGGTGGGGCTGGGCCCCGCCCGCCCTGGCGCTCACCGCTGATGTTGAGCAGATGGGTGAAGAAGAAGGACTGCTTGTGGAAGTCCTCGATGGCGAGGACAATGGGCCCGTCCAGGCTGCTGCGCAGGGTCTTCTTGGAGCCACTCTTGTCGGCGATGAGAGACTCCAGCATGGTGCGTACCATGTACAGCTGGAGAAAGAAAGGAAGAGGACAAGGTCAACGTCAAGGTCAAAGGCCAAAGGCTGGGCCTCCACCCTGGGGGAAAGGTTACTGAAGGTTATTTGTAGGATCTGTCTTCCTTCCTTCCTTCTCTCTCTCTCTCCCTCTCTCCCTTCCTTCCTTCCTTTCTTTCCTCACAAATTACTGTCTAGGTGGAGCAGTAAATCTGGCACTGTGAAAGCTCTGTGTGTGTGTGTGTGTGTGTGAGTGTGTGTGTGTGTGTGAGCCGTCCAGGGTCTGGCAACATGGCGGATGGCTCCACCACTGACAGCCCTTGTGAAAACCTCCAGGAGGGGAAACTGGCCAGCTGGGAAGGAAGCTCCTTTTGATGCCCAGGGCAGCCTTTGGACCTGAGGTTCCCGGGCAGCACTGCCCAGCTTCGCCCCGTGGTGGTATCGGGGAGACCCTCCTGCTCTGTGTCACTGTGGTCCCCCCACCTTTTCCATGGTGGGTCCCATGGGTGGGGCACTGCGCTGGGAATCAGGAGACCTGGGTACAAGGCCAGGAGGTCTTCCTGACTTGCTGTGTGACCTTAGGAGCACAGGCCCCTCTCTGGGCTCCAGTTGTGGTGTCTAACAAGAGGGGAAAGGGGAGGGGGCGGGTAGACCAGATGCCATCTCAGATTGGCCCGGTGCAGCTTGAACATCTTGAAGAGGTGTGCAACGGGAGGAGGGTAAGAGTGCTCCCCACCCCGCCCGGCTCCACCCGCCCCATCCACCCACCGACCAACCACCGCCAGTTTCCGATCCCGTTTGCTGAGTGTGTCTGTGAGTGACAGCGCCCCCTGGTGGCCTGGAGCCACACCGCACAACCTGCCTGGAGCCGACAGCAGTACTTAACATCAGTACTTACACAGGAGACTACTAGACAGACAGGGAGCTGCGTTCAACGTGCCCTGCGTGCACAGGGCACGCGACTGTGCTCTCTGCCACGAGCTACACCTTTCCAACGCCACTGAATCTGAGGGCCAGAAGGGGCTGTGAGGGAGCAGGCACCCCCCCCCCCAGCCAGCCGGCGGAATACCAGGGATCGGCAGCCTCTTCGGCTCTGTGTGCCACCAGTGGGGTGAAACAAAGCCCTCGGGGACCACTGGCAGGCCTAAGACACAACGGGAGAGGAGGAAGGTGGGGACGGGAGGGCGGGAGAGACAGGGACGAGGGAGAGAGGGAGAGAGAGAAAGAGAGAGAGAGAGAGAGAGAAAAGCAAGAGGTATTGTATACAATGGGGAAGACGTGACCGATGCCAGGTGGCCGAGACGCTCCAGCCTCCCAGCCGCTCCTTCCTGCCCGCCACCTCGCCACGCCGCGGGCCTGGCCCTCACCGGGGACGCGGGGCGCTGAGAAAGCCAACCCCTGCTCTATCCATGGCCTCCAAGGACATGCTAGCTCTAACCTGCTGAGACTCAACCAGGACAGGGCCGGCCCTGCCCCCTCCACCTATTCACCAGAGCAGACGGGGAGGAGGGGGGGATGGAGGGGCGGGGCCAGGAGACCTGGGTTCTTGGGCCCCCCTCCCCCACCCCATCTGGGACTCACCTTGTCACTCGGGACAAGTCACCTGCCCTTTCTGGGCCTCAGATTTTCCCCATGGGGGGGGGGATGGGGGCCAAGGGACCGTGGCTACGCTCTCTCTTGGGGTGACTCCAGGGGCGGCAGGATTAATCAAGCACCCCTTTCTGATTGGGGGGTGGGGGTGTCTCTGAACAGTCCCTGCCCTAACCTAAGCCAGCATCCCTACAGAGCTCCCTCCCTGCCATCTACTGCTGCTGCTCTCCCTCCTCCTCTCCCTCCTCCTCACTCCTCCAGAGTGCTCTGACTCTACAGTTCCCCAGGCAGCCCAGCCTACCTCGGCACGCACAGGTTGGAGGCTAAAAGCCAAGGAAAGCTAGGCCAACCCCACCCGATCGCCTGGCGTCGGTCTGCCTGACACGCATGCACACACGCTCGCATGCACACAGACACACACACACACACACACAGGGAGAGGAGGCGCCAGACAGACTCACAGCACAGAGAGGCTGATGCGTGCTATGAAGTGGGGAACCCCCCCCCCCAGCAGCTCCAGTGAGAAGCACCTGCTGTCCCAGTCCCGCAGCGAGCCCGCCACGCACCGTGTCCCTTGGACACGGCGGGAAATTGGCTTCCCTCCTTGTATGATGGGATGCCACAGGTGTGGCGTGCCGTGAGGTTCCAGTGGACAACTGAGCATTGTGTGTGTGTGTGACACAGTCCTGGGACTTGAACTCAGGGCCTGGGCGCTGCTATCCCATGGCTTTTTTTTTTTTCATTCAAGGCTGGCGCTCTACCACTCTACCCACAGCTCCACTCCTGCTTTTCTGGTGGCTCATTGGAGGTATGAGTCTCGTGAAACGCTCCTGCCCGGGCTGGCTTCGCATCTCCATCCTCAGATCTCAGCCTCCTGAGTAGCTAGGATGAAGGCGTGGGCCACGGAGCCCGGCTCCACTGCGCTTCTGACTATGTGACTGTCTTGGAGGGGTGGAGGCTTCGCGTCCTCGAGGCTGGGAGGCGAGGTGTGGGGGTGAGGAAGGCAGCAGCCAGCCTCGCACTCATCGTCGCCATGTTAGAGAGGATTCAGGGCTGGGAGAGGCCCGGGTACTTGCCCCACGCCACTCAGCACATGGGAGGCAGAGCGTGCGGAGGGCGGGCACGGCGGGGAGAGGGGCTGGGGCGTGATCAAAGGGACGGAGAGAGACGTGTGGGCTTTGGGGGGGCTCGGGTGGGGCGGGGTTTGGAGACGCACCAGCTGCGATGTTGACTAGGGTACCAACCCCCACAACTGAGGCACAGAGAGGTAGTGGCCAAGGTCACACAGGGGTCTGGGACTAGAATCCAGGTCTCCTGAGCCTCAGAGCAGCGACCCCCCCCGCCCCTCCCCCAGCCGAGGCCCCCCCCCCCCGTCCAGCGGTGACCAGAGGCGGCCGGCCAGCCCGAGCGCTCACCTGGGTGCTGGACGGCCCCACGGCCCGCCGGGGCACCTTGATGTCGAAGCCCCCTTTGGGGTCCTTCTCTCCACGCAGGCAGGGGTCATTGGGGGGCTCCCGGCCGCCCTCCCAATCGCAGATGGTCTTGCGGATGGCCTGCAGGACGCTGGGGGCGGGGGGGGGGACTCACCACCAGAAGGAGGCGGGGCCCGCCAGGGGGACTTCCTGTCCCTCCCCACCCTGGGGGAAGCTGCCTTACCCAGGTGCCCCTGGGTGTCGTAGTGGGGGGGACGCTGGGGTGAGCGGGGACGGGAGAATCGCTCTCCCTCAGGGGTGAGAGGGCATGTCTGGTGACGTGTGTGGAGTTGGGGTTCCAATGGCGGCTGTGACTTAGTGGACTGAGGTCACACCGCATGCCGTCCCTCCATCAAGCCCCCCCCCCCGTGACTGGGGACTGCAGTTGGGGGGGGCACCATCATACCCATTTTTGTCAGTCGTGGGGCTTGAACTCAGGGCCTGGGCTCTGTCCAGGGGCTAATGCTCTACCATTTGAGCCACAGCTTTCTGGTGGTTCATTGGAGATGAGAGTCTCATGGACTTCCCTGCCTGGGCTGGCTTTGAACCTCGATCCTCAGCTCTCAGCCTCCTGAGTAGCTAGGATTCCTAGGCCTGAGCTTCGTTGTACCCATTTTACAGACAAGGGAAACCGAGGCCCGGAGGCATCGGTCTGACTCTCCCGCCCAGCACACAGCTAGCCAGTGCTGGCCTTGGGCTCAAATCCAAAGACACACGCTTCACCCCCTCTTCCGTGTTCAGTCTCCTCAGGGAACCTACTAGAACTTGCCGGGGGAGCTGTGTTCGTTCACAGGCTAGCCGGGAAGCTGAGTCTAGCTTGACTTGCCGCGAGTCCCCCTTGCTTGGGAAGTGCTTGGTGAGGGAAGGGGAGGGGGGGGAACGGCGGGGGAGGGGGGGAGGCGTCCCCAAGACCCACCTGATGAGCACGTTCTTCTTCTTGCGCACGGCCTGCCGGAGTGGCTCGCGCAGGGTCACCTGGGCGAAGTCCTGCAGGGCGGCGTAGATGGTGTTCCGGATGGCCTGGTTGAACACGCTCTCCATGCGGCCCATGAGCACCTGCAGGCCTTTGATCATCGCGATCACCTGAGGGGCACGGCGCTGGTCAGGCCTGCCAGCCCCCTCCCCCCCATGCTCCCAGGTGGGGACAAAAGAAGGAGGATCGCTGTTCTGCTCCTTTCTATCTGTCGCCTCCATCACCCTAATCACCACCGCATCACCTCGAAAGGGCTACTGGAGAGGAGTCCCACACACCCAAGAGGGGTCCCGTGCACCCAACTTATTATCTTATCATTACGCACTGGATCCCATAAAGACGTACAACTATGTATGTCAACCAAGGAAGAGAATGGGTGCCGGGCACCTGTGACTCACGCCTATAATCCGAGCAGCTCAGAAAGCTGAGATCTGGAGGATCACGGTTCTACGTCCAGCCCAGGCAGGAGAGTCCACTAACCACGGACCTCCCAACGAACCAGCACAAAGCCGGAAGCGAAGGCGCGGTCGTGTGTCTTTGCCTGAGGATTTTCGGGTCTCTTTCAGCTGCTTGGTATTTTGTTTTTTCTTTTTGCTGTCTGTTTTCTTTCAGCCCATTTTTCTAGTGAACAGGTGTGAGCCTGTATATGAATCTCTCATTGTTTCTGAATAGCAACTTTGTGTGTGTGTGTGGGAGGGAGGGAACGGCGGTCTTAGGACTTGAACTCAAGGCCTGGGCAATGTCCCTGAGCTTTTTTTTTTTTTTTTTTTTTTTAATTTTGCTCAAGGGTAATGCCCTACCACCTGAGCCACACCTCCACTTCTGGCTTTATTAGTGTTTAACTGGAGATAAGAGTCTCAGAGACTTTCCTGTCCGGGGTTGGTTTTGAACTGCGATATTTACATCTTGGCCTCCTGAGTAGCCAGGATGACAGGCGTGAGCCACCGGTGCCCAGCTCTGGATGGGACGAGGGGACAGGGAAGGGTGTGCAAAATTGAGACACAAGGCCAGAACACCCAGGGCGGCCGCGGTCTGCGGCGGAGGCCCGGCAGTGGAGGCTCAGCGGCGGAGGTTGGGCGGCAGAGTCCGCTCCTACCTCCACGAAGGCAAACTTCTCCTCGCTGGTGTAGTTGTAGCGCGTGGCCCTCTCGTACTCTTCCGCCGTGCCCGGGCAGTCCTTGTTGCAAAACTTGTCTGTGGGGTGAACCAGCTTCCAAGAGTACTGTCGGAGAGAGAGAACAATCGAGAACCTCTCAGTGCTGAGCCTGAGGCAAACCCGGGTGCTCCTGTGCAGTGGAATATTACCGACCACGAAAAAGGAAAGGGTCCTCATCAATGGGACTGAACCTTGACTCGGGGAACTCAAGGAAGCCAGTGGCCAGGCGCTGGTGGCTCACGCCTTTAATCCCAGCTACTCAGGAGGCTGAGATCTGAGGATCTCGGTTTAAAGCCAGCCTGGGTAGGAAAGTCCATGAGACTCTTATCTCCAGTGAACGGCCAGAAAATCGGAAGTGGAGCTGTGGTTCAAAGTGGTAGAGCGCTATGAGCGAAAAAGCTCAGGGACAGCGCCCAGGTCCTGAGTTCAAGCCCCAGGACCGACCGAAAAAAAAGAAAAAGAAGCAGCCAGGTACAAACGACCACACACTCTACAATCTTATTTGTAAGAAACATCTAGAACGGAAGACACGATGGCCATAGAGAGTAGAACGCCTAGCCGAAAGGCAGAGAGTTCCAAAAAAAAAAATCTCAAGAGGGCTGAGACCCAAGCCCAGTCTGTGGTACTCCATTACTCATGAGCCAGCAAAAACCTGGGCTGGAGGTGTTGCCCAGGGGGTAGAGCACCAGCCCTGGGCAAAAAGGGAAAGGAGAATGCTTGGGCTGGAGGGGCTGGAGGTGAGCGCGCATGGTTTTCTTTGGAAGCAGTGGAAGTTGTCCCGATTGGGACTGTAGTTCTGTACACGTGCACACGGACCAAAAATACCCTGGGTGCAGGCTGCTGAGGACGCGTGGTAGAGAGCGGAGAGACGTGTGCAAAACACACACAGGCCAGTGTGGGGGGCTGGTGCGCTCGGCCTCCGCCTCCAATACCTGAGCCTCGGCCTCCACTTCTCTACCCCCGGCCTCTACCTACCACTTCCATGACATGGGCGCTCCACTTGGACAGGAGCTGCAGGCCCCGCAGGGCCAGGTCGAAGAGCTCGCGGTATTCCTCGTCTGACTTCTGGCTGTCCAGCCCGGAGCCCGTCACCACCTGTGAAACGGGGCGGAGACTGAGCCCTTCACCAGCCACGCACCGGACCCCTGAACTCAGCCCCCTGCTCCTCTTCCAGTGGCTTGGATTGCAGGGACACTCGGGAAAGCATCCACGCACAGGGAGGGTTTTCGTGCTGGTTCTGGGGCTTAAACTCAGGACCTCGGCTGGCACTCTACCACTTGAGCCATCGCTTCACTCCTGGCTTTTTTTTTGGTGGTTCACTGGAGACAAGAAGCTCCCAGACTTTCCTGCCCTGGGCTGGCTTCGAACTGAGATCCTTAGATCTCAGCCTCCTGAGGAGCTAGGATGACAGGCGTGAGCCATGGGTGCCTGGCAGCAACTGTCTCTTAGGACAGCGAATCCCCCGTTTCTTGGTTCTAGTTCAGATAAAATGCCCGTCACAAATCACTAAAGTTGATTGTGGGATGCATTTTGGAGACGTGACTGGCCGATTACAAAGCTGTGATACACACAGACCTTTTGCAGTGTGTGCAATATTCCACAGTCACATACGGCCGTGGACGTGGCTCCCACGCGGTATACAGGCGTGTGGGTGTGTGGCCGGGCCTCACGGTGCCCATGGCATCCGTCAGTCAATGGCAGACCCGTGCAAGACTCTCTGCCCGTGGTGCTCAGCCCTTGTATTGCAAGCGAACGTCTGAGCCTACCGGCCGGAGTGCAGGGCCTGTTTCTTGGGCTGCTGCTGGGTGATTTCACAGTACAGGGACAGAGGTCATATAGCACTTTTAGCAGCAGGAATGATCATGTATATTATATGTATATTATTGCATGGATAGTCTCACAAAAGGTGCTCACAGCAGTGCTCAGAGCTGAGGGTTCTTGATGAACCAGAACTCTCGCAGGGACAGGGAAGCCCCACATAGGCGATGCGCTCCGCCCTCTCCCCCGTGTGCAATCCGCTCACACATGGTGGACGGAGAAGGTCCGGGAAGAGGCGTGTGCAGCATCTGCAGTGCACACGTGCAGCTGGGTGCAGAGTGTGTGTGGAATGTACGCAGCCCCAGGCCGAGGGAGCCACGGAGGCCGGGACTTACCCGTGTGTGTGCGTGCGTGTGCGTGTGTGTGTGTGTGTGTGAGCCATGCACAGACCATGCCGCTCACATAGGAGCCCTCAGCACCCGAGGGTGTGGGTACTGGGGGGACCCCGAATTCCATCTCCATAGATACCCAGGGCTGCCCATGCTTCTTACAGCCACGCATCCTCACTAGGGAGCAGCCGGCCCTGGCTTATGAGAATTTAAATGAGTCCCATGCCCAGCTTGGCGGAGGGACACATTTGCTAAGAAAGCTAAAGGTCTGGGGTCTGGGATATAGCTCGAGTAGTGGACCTGAGGCTTGGTCCCTAGAAAGGAAGGGAGGAAGAAAGGAGGAAAGAAGAAGGGAGAGAGGGAACGGAGGAAGGGAGGGAAAAAAGGAGGGAGGGGAGGAAAGGAAGAAAGAAGAGAAAGAAACAAGAGAGAGAGGAGGAGGAAGGAAGGAAAGAAGGAGGGAGGGAAAAAGAAAAGGAGGTAGAAAGGAGGAAAGGAAGAAAGAATAAAGAGAAACAAGGGAGGGAGTGAGAAAGAAGGAAGAGAAGGGAAGGAGGAAAGGAGGAAAGAAAGGAGAAAGAGAAGAGGGAGGAAGGGAGAAAGGCGGGAGGGAGGGAGAGAAGTAGGAAGAAAGAGAGAGGGAGGGAGGGAGGAAAGAAAGGAGGGAGGGAAGAAAGAAGGGAGGGGAGGAAAGAAGGGAGGGAGGAAGAAAGGAAGGAAGGAGGAAAAAAGAGAGAAGGAAGGATGGAAGGAAGAAAGGAGGGAGGGAGGGAGGGCAAGAAGGAAGGAGGAAGGAGAGGCAGGGCAGAAGTAGGCAGACTAGCGTTAGACCTTGTCCACGTGGGCCACTAATTTAACAACCACCCTGTGTCTGTCAGCCTGTTCCCGACAGAAATGATCACCGCGGGCCGCCGGGGGCAGCAGTGAGCACATGGGTCTTCCACCATGAAGGGGCGGAGGAAAGAGATGTGCGCTGACTTCTACAGAAGAGTGCCAAAGACCCAGCAGGCCCTAAACACTCACTGTAGTTCGGGGGCTGGGAGGCTGTAGGGAATCGGCTTTTCCTCCTTTTGCAGAGCTATCTTATCTCTGAGGCTCGTGACTTGCTTGTGTTTCCATAGTAACAAAACAAGACAAAAAAGTAGGACACGGGTAGCTCACAACTGTAACCTTAGCTACTCAGGAGGCTGAGATGGGAGGATCATGGTTCAAAGCCGCCAGCCCAGGGAAGGGCAATCTGTGAGACTCTTATCTCCAGTTAACCACCAGAAAACCAGAAGTGGCGCTGTGGCCCAAGTGGTAGAGCGCTTGCCTAGCATGCATGAGGCCCTGGGTTCGATTCCTCAGTACCCCATATGCAGAAAAAGCTGGAAATGGGGCTGTGGCTCCAGTGGTAGAGCGCCGCGCCCTCACCTCGCTGTTGCTGTAGCGGGCGAGCTCGGAGATGAAGCGGATGTGGTCGTCTCGGATCTGTACCATCTGCTCGCAGATGTTGTACTGGGGGCTGATGCTGCTCTGCGTGCAGGTCCACCTGCGGGGGGGGGGAGACCGCAGCGTCGGGGGGGGACGGTCCCCGCCCCAGGCACGGGGGCCCCCTGGCTCCTTCCACTCACTCCTGTGCTCTGCGTGGAACCCAGGTTAGCTCTGGCCCTGCTCGGTGGAGTCCGCTAAGCACAGTGCTGCGGGCCCGTGTGGGGACAGTGTGCCTGCTCCTGCTCCCTCCTCCCTCCTTCCCTCCTCCTCCTCCTGATTCAGAATCGTGCAGGCATGCTTTGAACCTGCACCTGCTCCCCCCAAACACCTTGAGATTGCAGAGACCAAAGCCTGCTGCAGCCTTCCCCTCCCCCCCCCCCCAAGGCCCAGATAACAGAGGATAAAAAGCCAAGACCTCCAGGATGGGGGCGGGTCATCCGCACAGGCACCGGGGACTGGGGACCCAAGCAAGAGCCAGAGCAGCCAAGACGCGCCAAAGGTACTTTCAAAGAGGGATCCCACCGGCTGGGTGCTGGTTTTCACGTCTGTAACCCCAGCGACTCGTGGGGCTGAGATCTGAGGATCGCGGTTCAAAGCCAGCCAGGGCAGGAAAGTCACTGAGACTCTAATCTCCAGTTACTCACCAAAATAAATAAATAGTCTGTACCCTCTCCCCTCCTCCCCCCTTTCTTCTCTTCTTCCCCCTCTTCCTCCTTCTCTTCCTCCTCTTCTCTGGGCAAGCAGTGGCACGGCTCTCATGTGGTGTAGGCCGCCCTTCCAGGCAGCAGGCCAGGCTGGGGGTTTGTACCAACCCACCAAAACCAAAGAGGCTTTTCCTCAGTTTCTCTTTCAGAGAAACTTGGCCTCCACCCCCAATCCTCCTCTCCCCGGGCCTCTCTGGCTCCTGCAGTGACGCTCTGGTCTCCTGGTGTCCTTTCCTCCCAGCCCACAACTTACCAGTTCCACACAGAGCCAACGGATGTGTGTGCACGCGCGTGTGTGTGTGCCTGTGTGTGTGTGCTCGTGTCAGCCTTTCTAGAGGTAACAAGAGCTGGCACTGGAGCCAAGGACCCCGCAAGCGACCTCTTTCCCAGTGGCGGCCCTGCACTGTGGGTACTACGTAGCCCTGTGCACAGCCGCGGCTCCTGTCCATCCCCCCTTCCCCCGCTTTCCTTTCTCCCTTCTCTGTGGAACAACGCCAGTAGGAAAACCAGCCCAAATAGAAGGATGGGGTGCATGAAAGCACCCCTCGCTCCTCTTCCTGTGTCCAGTGCTGGGGTCCGGGCAGAGGGACCCACTTGCACGTCGCTGTTTGTGTCTTGCAGTCACTTCTGTAGGGTCCGGCACACTCGAACCCATGACTCCCAGCCCGGCCCCCTGCCCGTCTTCTGGGCAACCAGGCTGGGGGGTGAGGGAGGAGGGGGTCCCAGCTCCTCTGCAGACTACAGATCTCCATTTCCTGGGGTCCCCGTGGCTGAGCTCCAGCCCAGGGTGACCAAGCCCCTCTGCTAGTGTCCTTTGTTCATTTGTTTTTGCTGATTCTGGAGCTTGAACTCAGGGCCTGGGCACCATCCCTGAGCTTTTGTGCTCAAAGCTAGTGCTCTACCAGTTGAGCTACAGTTCTACCTCCGTGTGTGTGTGTGTGTGTGTGTGTGTGTGTGTCTGTGTCTGTGTCTGTGTCTGTGTCCTGGGGCTTGAACTCAGGGCACTGTCCCTGGGCTGCTTTTGCTCAAGGCAAGTGCTCTATCACTTGAGCCACAGCTCCACTTCCGGATTTTCCTGTGACTAATTGGAGCCAAGAGTCTCACGGCCTTTGCTGCCTGGGCTGGCCTTGAACCGCGATTCTCAGATCTCAGCCTCCTGCGTTTGCTAGGATGACAGGCGTGAGCCACCGGTGCCTGGCTCACTTTGGGCTTTTTGCTGGTAAAGCGGAGAGAGGAATCACACGAACGTTCCTGTGCTGGGCTGACTTTGAACCGCGATCCTCAGATCTCAGCCTCGTGAGCAGCGAGGATGACAGGCGTGAGCCTCTAGCGAGCGGCCCCTCGTGTCTGTTGGTGACGGGGAACTCAGCTGTCAGCCCAGCAGAGCAAGGCCAGGCTTCCCCCACGTGGGGCCAAAGGGGTGAGGAGCAGAGATGGGCAGGGGCCGGGGCCGGATGCCCCCAGCTGTAGTGCGATCTGACCCCAGGAGCTTAGGACGCCCCCAGCTCTCGCACGATCTGACCCCAGGCGCTTAGCAGACGGCTCTGAGGCCAGATCCACCCACGAACCCACAGCTCCACCACGTACTTACTGCGTGGCCACAAAACCTGAGCCGGGGAAGGAGAAACTGAGGCAGCATCTCTCTCCCTGAGGGCGGCCCCGGCGGGTGATGGGCGGCGGGCCAGTGCGGGTGCCGGGGCTCTGGGGAGGAGGGAGGGGCTGAAGTGGCCCCCCGGCCCCCTGCCCAGGGCTGGGTGCTGTCGAGGACGCCGAGACACATTACGGCAGGCACTCACTTGGATTTGTTCTCCTCGTAGTGAGCGCTGGTCTTAATGTATCTGGCCAGCTCGATCTGCATGTCCCCGAACAATGGCACCACCTGCAGCTGCTGCAAAGGAAGCAAAGACAGCAGTGAGAGACACGCTGGCTGCCGGGGTGACCCTGAGCCCCCCCCCCCCCACACATACACAGGACCTCCCCATCCAGCAGGCAAATCCTCCCACATCTCCAGTCTAAGCAGCTAAAGGCCGCTAGAGGGAGGCCAGGTACGGTGGCTCACACCTGTAATCCCAGCTATTCCAGAGGCAGAGGTGAGGAGGATCATGTTTGAAGGCCAGCCCAGGCAAAGAGTTAGGGCAAACCCCATCTCAACAACAACAACAACAAGCTGGGCATGGTAGCTCATGCTTCCGATCCCAGCTGGCGGCTCACGCCTGTCATCCTAGCTACTCAGGAGGCTGAGATCTGAGGATCGCAGTTTGAAATCGGCTGGGGCGGGAAAGTCTGTGACACTCTTTAAACTCTTAATCAATGACTCAGAAAGACCCGGAAGTGGCGCAGTAGGCTCAAGTGGTAGATTACTAACTTCAGTGAAAGGCACTCAGGGACAGGGCCTAGGCTCTGAGTGCAAGCCTCAGAACCAGCACCAGAAAAATAAAAGACAAAAGGCAAAGCTTCATCAGGAAAAGAATGTAGCACACCCACACTGCTCCCCCTCCCAGAAATAGAGCTGGAGTCTCGGCTCGAGTGGCCAAATGTCAGCCTGAAGAAAGGCCAGAGAGCTGGGCACTAGTGGCTCACGCCTGTCATCCTTGCTACTCAGGAAGCTGAGATCTGAGAACTGCGGTTTGAAGCCCAGGCAGGAAAGTCCATGAGACACTTATCTCCAACTGACTACTCAGAAAAAGCCTGAAGTGGTGCTATGGCTCAAGTGGTAGAGTGCCAGTCTTGAGCCAAAGAAGCTCAGGCCCTGAGTTCAAGGCCCAGGACTGGCAAAAGAAAAAAGAAAGGCCCGAGGAAGGGGAGGGGATGGAGGAGGCTGGCGCTCACTGCCCGCCTCTCCGGCACTAGAACCTGTACCAGTGCGTACTGTCTGCGCCTGCTCAGTAGCCCAGGGACCTTGAACACGACTGTTAACCCTTTCTTTTCTTTTTTTTTTTTTTTGGGTCCGGTCGTGGGGCCTGAACTCTGGGCCTGGGTGCTGTCCCTCA